GCCTCACCGGACCCAAACTCTCCCCCCACATGCGGCTGTATTTAGTAGCGTCCTGTTCCCCACCCACCCGGGTTTTCCTCCCCTCCTCCAACCCCACCCCCTTTGTTTCAGCTCAAGCTGTGGGGTGCTCCTCAGAGCCACCAGGAACGCAGAGAGCGAGTCCCCTGGTGTCCTGGCCCCTTGCCCCAACGTTCAGTTTAGGGAAGTTGGGCTTGTTGTTGAGAAAGAAGGAACGGGGTGGGGTGAGGTGGGAGTGGGAACAGAAACCAGGGAGAAGCAGAGAAACGAGGTAAAAAGGGGAATGGAGAGGGGGGCTGGTGGGAGGGCGCTGGGCGTGGCCGGCGCCGGCGCGGCCTCGCAGCCTGAGCCCCGCCTTGGCCTCGGGAAGAGTGAGGAGTGAGGCGGTCCGGCTCTGCAGCACTCTTGCTGTGTGACCTCGGGCTGCTTGCTACCTCTGTCTGAGCCTCGCCTCCCCGCTGCGAACACCCCCTCTCTGCTGCATTGCCACCCCAGTCCTGGGTCTGCAGCCGGGCCGCAGGCCTTCACACGTGATGTTCCCTCTTCCTGCTTCTCTCTCGTCTCAGTTGGAAAGCTTCTCTTTATCCTTCAAAGCGGTGCTCCAGCTTCTCCTGTTCATTGAAGCCTCCCCGAGTCTTCCAGACAGTGGTGATCACTCCTTCATCAGGGACCCTGAGGTCCCTGAATGTCCCCTGTCACGGCTCTGAACACACTGGTCACCCATCAGGTGCCCCCTGGGGCCTTTGACACCTGCAGGCCAGGGTCAGTGTCTTGTCCAGCCAGGGCCTGGTGGGCCCAGAGAGAATTTACTGGGTGGACAAACGAGGAAAAGAATGAACACCTGCAATTGGCAGACACTGGCCGGCAGCGCCGGTTTATGGAGCGCCTGCTGTGCACCTGGCTCTGTGCTGGCTGCCGTTGACCTGATAACAGCCTTATGAGGCAGGTCGAGTTATTCCCCCATCTCCCAGATGGGGAGACTGAGGCTCAGAGAAGTTAGGGGCTCCCTCAAGGGCATAGAACTTGGCTTAGGCTCAGGACCCTCTGACTCCAGCACCCCAGCTCTGAACCACGTGATGTCACCATGTGGGATCAAAGAATAGTGAGTGGGAAGATGCTGTGATGGAGGAATTTTCACCTGCCTGGGCTTTGTAGGAGGAGAAAAGACCTGTTCCAGGAGGGTGTGGGCCACGGCCCAGCCAGGCCCTCTGAGCTCAGGGTGAGGGGAGAGCTGTGTTCAGGTGGAAACTGAGTTGGGGGGTGGGGTGGAGGCAGGTGAATGAGGACCTGGGAAATCTGAACTCCTGGGGATTCCAGGCCCCTCCCAGCATATGCTGTAGGTAAGCCAGGTACTTTTCCAGGACTGCAGATGACTCTTGGTTCCAAACCTTGGGGGAAGCGGCGAGGGCTGTTTGAAAGGTGGGAGGCAGCTCAGGGCCGGGAGTGTGGGAGGGTCATGCCGCAGTTTGTGACAGTTCCACTCCCCTCACTCTCCTGTGTTCAGTCATCGCAGTGGCCCTGGGTGCAAATGCGGTGACTTTGCTCATTGACTGGAGGGGGAAACTGAGGCCAGGGAGGAGCCAGGACCTGGCTGTGGTGGGACAGCAGTGAGGCCGTGGGGAGGCCTGCCGTCACGCTGCAGCTGCTGCGTCCTGAGCTCTGAGAGTCCGGGGCTGGGGAGGGTGGGCAGATGGTTGGTGGGACCAGGGGCTGGGCGCCGGAGCAGCCACTTGGCCCTGAGTGGAGCCCTGGACCCTGGGAGCACAGGGCACCAGAGTTCAAGTGCCAGCTGGGCCACATGACACAGACAAGAGCATGTGAGTCCGCCTCTCTGAGCCGCCATGTCCTCCTCTATAACACTGGGAAAACGGTGCCTTTCTTGCAGAGTTTGGGAGTTTGTGAGGCAAACCTGTGAGTGCAGATCTGAGCATACAGTAGGTGCTCAATAAATGTCAGTTTCTCTCCCATCCATCTCCTAGGGAGCTGAGTCACCTACCTTCCTCCTGGGCTTGGGACTGGTATCTTTGCGGAAGGTTAGGGGCCCCAGGAGGGTGTGTGTGAGTCTGGCTCTGTGACCTTGGGGCTGGTTCCTGTCATCCTTGAGCCTCAGGTTTTTCATCTGGGGCAGGGGGCGGAATCAGCTCCCTCCCCCTGCAGGACTGTGGAGACGGTGAAATGGGTGCTAAGGGGGAGCCTGCTTTTAAACACAGATGGTTTTCACAAAAGTAGAAATACCAGTGCTTGCTGCTGCTTCTTATACCAGCTGCAGGAGGGAGAGGAGGCTTCAGAGGGAAGAGGAGGTGGGCGTTTGTCTCTGGCTCCACTGAGGCGCTGGCATGGGAGTGGGGCAGAGCACAGGCCTCAGGCAGAGCCAGGGGGCTGGGAGATGCTGGGAGGACAGGGGGGAGGAGGTGAGAGTCAGACCCAGGGCCCTTCGGCCTGGGTTTGAGTCCTGGCCCTACAGGTCGCAAGCTGGGAAGCCTTGGACCTCTCTGAGCCTCGATTTCCTCGTCTTTGAAGTGGGGGAAGGAGAATTAAGAATAGTCCCTTCACTGGGCTGTGAGAGTGCCATGGGCTGGTGAGGGTGGTGCACCTGGCCCATGTGGGTCCGGCTGTCCGAGTGTCCCTCTCCTTCCCGGGGTCACAGGACGTCCAGGAGGGGTGGTGGGAGGCTAACAGCAGAGTGCAGGCTTGGTGGCAGGGGCGCAAGAGACTTTTAGGGTCAGAGTTGAGAAACTGGGGGAGGCAGGGAGGTTTGGGAGTTTGCAGTGTTCTCCAAAGCGGGGTGATGCTCCAGGTGACCGCTAGGGTCTCAGGATGACCATATTAGAATTTATAAATGTTTCAATTACACTCTTTATTAGTTCCTGAAGTTTTGTATGTATGTTTCACTATGTTTGTGATAAACCAGGGTAATGGCGCATGCATATAATTTAGAAATAAAGAGGAGTATGTTCAATAGGTTCACTGACAGAGGGGCATGATCAAAGTCTCTGAGCTTTCTGGAGTCAGGGCCACAGGGGCCTTGCTGTGTTTGGGGGACGCACTGGGAGACCTGGGCTTCAGCTTCATTCCAGATCTCAAATAATCCCGGACTCTGGACACCTCAGAAGTCTTTTCGTGCCACACCTGGACTGGGGACCGGGTGGAAAGTTAGGGGCCTATCTAAGCCCAGCTGTGACTCACCCGTGCTCTGCCTGCACACTCCCACGGACGGGAGCTCACTGCCTCTCAGGGTCCCCTGTTCTGTCCTGGTCTGAGCTGTCATCCGCCTCTTTCTCTGTCCCTTGTTAAAGGGGAAACTGTGGGGAGAGGGGCTGAGGAAGCAGCTTTTGTGTCTCAGGGCTGCTTCTTGCGGGTGCCAGCCACAGGCCTCACACCGCATCTGCCTTTCCGCTCTGGGCTGCTCTCAGCCTTCCAGGGGGAACAAAGCCTTTTTGGTCACCCAGGTGGAGGGGCCAGCGAGAGCAGGCTCACCGTCAGCCCCCGGGCACCCTGCTCCCGGTACTGACTGACCACCCCTTGTAAACTCGCACCAGCCAAAAGCAGATTACGTTTGCTGAGCACCTGTCTCCTGGGCCCAAGCCCAGTGCTTTGCAATTCATGCCTTAGTAAATCCAGTGATGGCCGTTTTCCAGACGGGAACACTGAGAGGTGAAACGACTTTGCCCAAGGACACCTGGTGACCTGCATTCGAGTCTATCTCTGACTCTGGCGCCCAGCTCTTCATCACTTTTCTGGGTGGTCCTTTTCTGCCCCACTGAGCAGGGTATAGCAGCAGCAGGAAGACTGACTCAGACCTGCATCTCAGCTAAAAAAAGTCACACAGGCAGCAAGGGGGAAGCATGGTGGGTGTCGGGTTGCCTCTCCGTTGAGCATGAGTTACCAGGGCAGGGCTTCCTAGAAGCCGGTGTAAATGCAGGCCGTATTAATAGAGGTCGGGCACCTGCCAGCGGGGAGTAGATCGTCTTATTCTTAGTGTCGCTGGGATGGTGCCCAGAGAATTGTGTGTGCGGTGGGGGGACAGCAGAAGGTCAGCTGCAAGGACACGAACACACAGGAGATGCTGAGTTCCCCGTGCCTGGAGGCATTCAAATAGAGGCTGCATGGCCCAGATTCCTGCAGTGGAAAGTGGAGGGCCTGGGCAAAGTGACCTCCAAGGTCCTTTTAAACTGTAGTTTTGCGGCTGGAGCTACCCCAACACTCATGCCCATCAGGGTCACCCCTTCTCCATTATTCTCGGCAGGGGTCCCCTGAGGGGATGGGGTTCCTGGTCTATACATCCACTTATTCATCAAATAAAACAGCAAGAGCAGCGAACCGGAGAGACGCAGGCACCTACAGTCCACTGGGGATAATTGTAATAGTAATAGAAAGCACAGACTAAGTGCTTACGACCTGCCAGGCACTGCAGGTGAATGACGGCGCGTCTGGTCCCACTGCAGCGCTCGGAGGCAGCCATTGTTGTTACCCTCATTTTGCAGATGGAGAAACTGAGGGGCCACGGGAGGTGGGTTTCGGAGGGGCACCCCGGGCATGCTCAGGCCAGGTGCTCCCAGGCCTGCGTCGGCAACTCCATGAGCCTGAAGCTCGCTGGTGCTCAGGTGTCGTGACCGAGACCCCAGGACACCCCCACCTCCTCTTAAGGCTGACCCTCAGTGGTCCCTGTTACGCTCCAATGAGAACGTGGCTCCAAGGGCTCGACTGGGATGTTCTCATTGACTTGTAATATCCTCCGGGGGTAACTTGTCCTCGTTTGACAGAGGGGAAGCTGAGGCACAGAGAGGCCAGGTTACTTGCCCAAACGCACACAGCTGGGGAGAGAAAGAACCACGGTCATGAGCTTGTACAGGCCCTACTTGCATCCAGGATGCCCGACTGGCCTGCCTGTCCACCTCTCCCAGGACCGTACACCCTTGAGGAGGGGGGCGCTGGTGGGGAGCGGCGTGGAACCCAGCTCACTGACGCTGTTTTGTCCCCAGATCATGAGTGTTTTGCTGTTCATCGAGCACTCCGTGGAGGTGGCCCACGGCAAGGCCTCTTGCAGGTTCTCCCAGGCAGGCTACCTCAGGATCGGTAGGTCCAAGGCACAGGAAGGGGAGGCAGGGGGAGGGGGAGGGCGTCCTGGCTGGGCGCAGACCGACTGGGGTCCGAGGCCCTCCCACAGCCTCTCTCTGAGCCTCAGGTCTTCCATCTGCAAATGGAGCTATTCCACCTGTCCCGACCCAGGTCCGAGGTCAGGAGCAGAGCGGATGGTGCTTGGAAGGGTGACGGCAGGACTCCCCTGTTTATACCTGTCAATGGCTGCCCATCACCCTAGAGGAAAATCATGAAACCCAGCCCCTGCTGACCTGCCTGGCCACAGTGGTCACTTGAATGTCCCTCCAGCTTCCCCCTGACTACCTGCACTCTGGCTGCACTGACCCACCTTGTCACAGGCCCCTGCCTAACCACCTTGCCCCCCTGTTTGCAGGCCACCTCCCCAGAGCCCTTCCCAGACTCACCCTGGTTAAAGCAGACCCCCAGCCTGCCCCTCCCCCCACCCCATTCAGGACCCTTTGTTACACCTTCTTGTTCGCCCAAAATGTTCTGTTTGCATCTTTGTGGCTTCTATCTCAACAAAAGGACAAAAAGACTTTCTTGTTCACTGGCATGGCCCCACACCAGTGGTTCCCAAAGTGCGGTCCTTGGAGCCGGGCAGGGTTCCCCGGGGCACCTCCGGTCCTCACGACTTTCCCTTGCCTTTCAGCTGACCTGGTCTCCAGCTTCCTGCTCATCGCCATGCTCTTCGTCATCAGTGTGAGCCTGTTGATGGGTGTGGTCAAGGTGAGGGCCCCACTGGGGGAGTGGGAGGGGGGCACAAGGACTTGGGGGTCCCAGCTGCCTTCTGGCCCCCTTCCTAGTCACACCTACTAGGTGGGGGAATTGGCTTCTGAGAAGGTAGGAGGTAGGTGTTTTGGGAGACCCATGCTGTACCCTAGATATCATCACTGTGACCCACACCCTTTTATACTGCAAACGGCGGCAGGGGATTTTGACAGAGAAAAGAGGAAGGGCCACTCTGAGGAGTGAGGAGGGGGAGAATGCAGTGGGTTTCGTAATCCGGAAGAGGAGCCAAAGCACATGGGAGAGCGTGGACGCCTGCAGCTCGGTTCTATCCACTGAGTGGGCGAGAAAGACAGGCTGTGGCTCAGCCTCCTGCAAAGAGGAACCATCTGTGCCCCGGCCCCAGGGGGCCAGGGAGCCAGGGCCGAAGCAGGGCCCTTCCTGGGCAGACAGTGGCCTGGCGCTTTTAGGGTCAGGAGACGGAGTCAATGACTCGGTGCTTGTTCGGAATGTTTCCACTTTGCATGAAATGTCACCATCACCCCTGGCTAATGAATGCCCTTCTCCTGGCCCTGCACCCCAGCGATGGATTCCAGGTTGTCCAGGGTGGCTCCCAGGTGCTTGCACAGAAGTGGAAATGATCTGGCTAGAAAGGTGGGGCAGGCCGCCCCTGGAGGCTCTGAGGCTCGGTCTGGGTTGTTTGGTCACCTCCTGAGTGATTTCAGACGACCACGCGAGAAACCACGAAACCACCCTTTCTGTATCTTATCTCCAGCTGGGTTCCTATGCAGTCCCGCTGGTCACCTGCTTTCAGTTGTAGGAGAGGGACCCCAGCCTCAGTCTTTCAGGTCCCTTCGCCATGACTGGTTAGCGGCACAGAGGAGCGTCTGACTGTTTCAGTCCTGCGGGCTTTTCCCCACCTCAGGGCCTTTGGTCACGCTGCCTGCCTGCCTCCAGTACCCTCCTGCTTTTCCTCCTGCTTCTCTCCAGATCCACCCTGTGTCTCCACCTCCAGGAAGGCCTCTCTGATTCCTTCTTATCTGCCAAATGGCCCATCCTAGTTGAGTTCTTGAGAGGAAACTGAGTCAAACCTGCTCCTAGAGCTGCTGGAGCAGTTGCCCTGTAGATGGAGCTCGTTCTCCTGTCTCCCAGGACACTGAGGCTCCTTGCGCTCAGGGTCTGGGCCTTGCCTTCCCTCATCCCCAGAGCCTCACTCAGACGAAGGCGTGTAGATCCGTGTGGGTTAGGAGACTTTGGGAGGGAAGGGAGCTGCCGGTGGGTGGGCGCACGGGGGATCGGGCTGCGTGGGGGACTGTGCAAGGGACACCCTGACAGTGCCGGGCCTGCCTTTCAGAACCGGGAGAAGTACCTGCTGCCCTTCATGTCCCTGCAAATCATGGACTACCTGCTGTGCCTGTTCACCTTGCTGGGCTCCTACGTGGAGCTGCCCGCCTACCTCAAGTTTGCCTCCCGGAGTCGGGCTGTGAGTACCCAGCCTGGGCAGCGGGGGGCGGAGCTCAGGCGGAGGTGGGAGGCTCCCCAAGGGCCCTTCCTAGTGGTGACCTTCAGCAAGTCTCCGGGTCCCTCCAAGCACCCCTGAGGTCCTTCCTCTGTCAGACGGGCCTGTGATCCCAGGTGCCCCCGCGGCACTGACTGCGGACAGTGTGTAGGGCACTCACACCTGGTGAGCGCTCAACAAATGTTGGCCACAGAGAATCCTCAGCAGGAGAAGCAGCGCATGCCCCTTTCAGCCCCCAGCCCTGCTTCGTCTCTGCTTTGTAACCAAGTCCTAGAGGAAGACGAAGATGGGTAAAACCATCTGAGCACCCACAGTGGGGCACCCACGAGGGCTGGTGCCCATCACTGATGTGGCTCCTCAGAGTTGCTGTTCTTGAAAAGACTGGGGCGCTGTGCTGTGGAAGGGCCCCGGGTGGGCAGTCAGGACCCTGGTTTCAGTCCCGGGTCTGCCACAGGCCCCTGGTGTGAACATCTGGGAAACGAGCATCCATTTCTTCCTGGGGACGGTGGACTGGGGGCCACTGGTTCTCTCTAGCTGTACCATGTCTGAAGCTGAGCCGCAACCCCCGTGTGCCTGCCCCATAGCACAAGGGCCTCTGCTTGGGGCTTAATTGCTTGTCTGTCTTCCTCTTTGTCTTTGTCCCCCTAAGCACCCCTCCAAGGTCCCACTGATGACCCTGCAGCTGCTGGACTTCTGCCTGAGCATTCTGACCCTCTGCAGCTCCTACATGGAAGTGCCAACTTATCTCAACTTCAAGTCCATGAACCACATGGTGAGTCTGGGCCAGGGGCCCACGCCCATCACTGGCTCTGTGGCCTTGAGCAAGTTGCTCCCCCTCTCTGAGCTTCGGTGCTTACACTGGGCTGGGCTCCTTAGAAGTGGAGCTGGGGAGGAGGATGTTTGCATAAATGATTTACTGAGGAAGAATGCATTAGAGAATGCTTGAACAACGCGAGGGAGACAGGTCAGACACGGGAGAGCCGCGCAGACACGTGGCTTTGGGGGTAGCCCTGCCTGATCCCGTAGGCAGCCCTGGAGTATGAATTGCCCCGCAGAAATAGCACTAATTTTTTTATTATTGTCTAGCCAATTCTCCCCAAACATAGTAACTTAAAATAATAAACAATTGTTATGTCATACGGCTTTTTTGGGGTCAGGAATCTGGGAGCTTTGCTGGGCTGTTCAGACCCAGGGTCTCTCATGGGGTCACCCTGCGCTGGGGGCAGGGCTGGGTCTGGAGGACCAGCGCCCAGGGTGGCTCACTGCCATGGCCATCGGCTCGGGGCCTCAGTTCTGCCCCCTGCGCACCTTTAATAAGGCTGCTTGAGCATCCCCATGTCATGGCTGCCGGCTCCTCCCAGTGAGCATCTGTGAGGCCGTGCGAGGAGAAAGTGGCTGTGTCTCAGAGGTCACACTCACCTCTGCCACCTGCTACTGTTTGTGGGAAGTGAGTCTCTAGGTCTGGCTCACATTCTAGGGAGGGGAGTGAGCTCTATGTTGAAGGAAAGAGTATCAGAGGTTGTACACACATAGTTACAAATGCCGTAGAGGCCATCCCACTGTGAGCAGCGACTGTCCTCACTGAACCGCTGCTTGGGAGCTGCCCCCTGGGGAGGGCCGATTTCCTGGGTGCTTTGGATTGGGTGGTTCAATCAGCCAAGACTGTGCTCTAGAGAAGGGCCTGCCCACCGCCAGCTGCGGCGTGGGGGCACAGCCTGGTAAAGGCCATCTGGGCAGCCAGCAGCCGCATCTGCTTCCCTTGGTCTCCTCCCTGGTCCTGTGGGGCTGGTGGTAAGTAGCACCTGCCTCCCAGGGCCCCTGCAGGATCAGCCAAGACAATGGCTAGGCCACAACAGGTGCCTGCTAGGTGTGTGCAGAGCAGGCTGGCCACCGCCCCCCCACGGCCAAAAGCCTGACGTGGCCCCCGAATCTGTTGCAGAATTACATCCCCAGCCAGGAGGGAATGGCTTATAACCAGTTCGTCAAGATGATGATCATCTTCTCCATTGCCTTTATCACCGTCCTCATCCTGAAGGTGAGTGGCCCCCTCTCTGTGGTTCTGGGAGTGCAGTGGGGCTGTGTGGCCCCAGGCCCACCCTGCTGGACATTTTGGAGGCAGGGAGGTGGGTCTACCGCTGCCACCCTCCCTGCTCTTGGCCCCGTACTCCAGCCCTCCCCACACCGGGTCCTTCGAGCTGGCATCCTCAGGGACCCCGGTTCAGGGGAAGTGGGTCTGCAAAGACCACTTGCGTTCAGGTGTCAGAAACCCTGGCAGGCCCTGACCGGGGGAGGGAGGGGCTGTTCTGTCTGGAGGTAGACTCAGAAGGACCTGGGCTTGGATCCCAGCGCTCCCCTCACTAGCTGTGTGGTTACTTCTCAAGTCACTTCTTGCTGGGCCTCAGGTTTCCTCTGGGAAAGGGACATAATGCCTTGCTTTGCCCGTGTCACAGTTTCGTGTAATTCAGGCACCAACATGTATGGGTTCTCAGGTCATGGTGCTAGAGGTTTGGTGATGAGGAAGAGGGAGGGGAATGGTTTTATTCTTCTCTGGGGTAGCCAGACCCAGAAGGTAGAGTCCAGCTTCGGGCCCCAGTTCTTGGGGAGATGGTGACGGATTGGGGTGCATTAAGAGCAGCACAGACAGGAGGGTGAAGAGGCAAGAACATTTGGCCTCTTCATCGGAGAGCGTCAAGGAAACCAGGGCAATTCCACCCGGGCAAGAGGTGACTCCAGGAGCGCACAATCACTGTCTCCAATGCTCCAAGGACCCCCCTGGGGATTCTAGAGGCTGCAACTGGGGCTTGTGGCCTGAAGCCACAGGGAGGCTGATGTTGACAAGACAGAAGAAAGGGCTTCTAAAAAGTGTTCTGTGAAAGCACCACTGGCTTGTGGTAGAAATTTAGAAACTGCAGCTGAGCAGAAAGAAGACAATCAGAGCCCCGACCCACCAGCTCTCAGAGACCAGCATGCCAGGATACTCACGCATTCCCTCCCCGTCTTTTTTCTTTAATTTTGTTTATTGATTTTAGAGAGAGAGGAAAAAGGAGTGAGAAAGAGAGATCAGTTTGTTGTTCCACGTAGTTATGCGTTCACTGGTTGACTCTTGCACATGCCCTGACCAGGAATCGAGCCCACAGCCTTGGCACCCGGGCACGCCACTGTAACCAACCGAGTGTCCCGGCCGGGCCTCCTCCCAGTCTTCTGTGTGGGTGGCTGTGAGCAGGCGTCGCCGCCTCCCTTCATCGGAGGCCCTGCTCAGTCTCTGGCCTCACCTGATGCCAACCTGGAAGCAGAACTTCACTCCTCTTAAGCTTTCCTCAAAGTCCAAGTGCATCGGTGATGTGCAATGAGAACTTTCCTGAAGGCTTGGGGCAGACCAGGGTGGGGGTTTACATCACACGCTGGACTAGAGAACAACTTCCCAACCCCCACCTCACGACCCGTCGCCCCGCCCTTCTCCTCCTTCGATGGGGCCAGCCGTTCTCTCTGGGCCCCTCACTCTGCCTCACTGGCCACTCCACACCCGCTCGACCTTCCCCTGGCCCTTCACAGTGCGCTCTTTTACACTTCATTTTACGTATGCCTGCCCCCTCTGAGTGCCCATTAGGAGACTCCATAAAACACACGACCTTCCAGGCACCAGGACCCGCTCTTCTTCCCCAGGGGGCAGTTTGGGGCACGGAGCGCTGTCGTCCCTGAGCATGGCCCTGGGACCTCACTCGCCACTGTGGCAATTGTCTCTTCAACCCTCAAATCAGCTGCTGAGACAAAGCTGTTGCTTACAGTACCTGACAGATGTATACATCTGTACATATATGATTTTTTGTATTTATAAACATGGGATATTACTGTGTATACTGTTTTGTAATCTGCTTCTAAAAACACAACATAGCATAAGCAATTTTCAAGAGAACCGTTCCCCCCGGACCGGCACAGCTCAGTGGGTCGGGCGTCATCCCCCAAAGTGAGAGGTCACTGCTTCCATCCCGGGTCAGGGCACGCGCCTGGGGTGTGGGTTTAGTCCCCGGCAGCGGTGCATTCGGGAGGCAGCTGGTTGACGTTTCTCTCTCATACCAAAGTTTCTCTTCCTCTCTTTCTCACTCCTTTCCCCCCTCTCTAACAATAAATAAAAACAGAAAGAAAGAAAACCTTTCCCACCATGAGCTCTGTCTCAAGTTGAGCGAGGCCACCACAGTGAGCTCCCAGTGTCCAGGGGCGGGCGAGCGGGGTCTGCAGGACTGTTGGCAAGGGGGCTTGAGGGTGGCTCAAAAACCTCCCCAAAGCCCCTTTCTGCACTGCAGCTGTGGCGTAGTAAAAAGGGGGAAAACCTGGAGTAGCGAGGACAGGCAGGCGGAGCACCCCTCAACCAGAGTAGGGGTCTGAGCTGCAGCAGTGGGATGCTGCCTTCTGGGGCGAGTGAGGGCTCCCCAGGAAGTGCTCGGCACCCGCCTCCAGTCTACTGGGACAGTGAGGAGCAGGGTCAGCAATGCACAGTCTGACCTGGCTCTTTTCCAGGTCTACATGTTCAAGTGCGTGTGGAGATGCTACAAACTCATCAAGCACATGAACTCAGCAGAGGAGAAGAGCAGCTCCAAGATTCTGGAGAAGGTGAGCCTGGTGGGGGGGGGAGGGGAGCCAGCGTTGGCTCTGCCAGTCACTCTGTCGTTTGGGGGAGGTCTCTCTCCCTTGCTGTGCCTCAGTGTCTCCACTTGTAAGATGAGGTCTAGACCAGAAGAAACATGAAGATCTCCTTTAGCTCTTAGAGTCTAGGGATTCTGTCATATATCCGTGCATTCAACATTTTCCGCCTCTTATAAGGGTCAGTCTTGCATCCAACCCTGGGGGTACAGAGAAAACTAAGATGCCACCCTATTTTAGATAGTCCAGAGCGCATCTAGACACAGAAATTCAATTACAACTCAGTGTAACACACAGGGGCAGTGGGAGCACAGAGGAGGCAGCTGGTCTCATCTGGGTTGTCAGGGAAGACTTTCTGGAGGAGGTGACATTTGACCAAGTCTTAGATTGTCAATTGGTACAAGTTAGCTGGGCAAGGGGCAGGGGCCTTCCTGGCATAGGGGCGAGGTGCACTCAGAAACAGCTTATTGGAGAAGTGATGGGGAAGGGCAGCCGGTTTCAATTACTGTGGCTCACTTTCCTCATCTGTACAATGGGGATTGCATTAGTCAAGATGTTTTTGGCTGCAAGTGGCAGAAACCCAACTCAATCTACTTACATTAAAAAGGAGACTTTATTAGTTCGTAGAATCCAGAAGTCCGATGTATGTGTGGACACCCCCCCCCCCCGCCGTGCAATCTCATCCTCTCCAACCCTTTACCCCACTTCCCTCGACGCTGGCTCCATTTTCAGGCAGCCCTTTCCCTGTGGTGGCAAAATCGCTGCCAAAACCCCTTAGCTGACTTCCCATTCTCTCAGCAACCCCAGCAGAAAGGAAGTCCCAGGAGCCTGTCTGATTGGACCGAGTTGAGTCACAAGCCTATCCCTGAACCAATGACCATAGACAGCTAGGGGGTGAAATTCTTCTTGGAGTGGCCCCACCCAGGTCACATGCCTACCCCCTGGCTCTGCAGGATGGGGCCAATTCCTCCGAAAGCAAGTGGATGGGGGATGTTTTCCCAGGGAAAACGGTGTGTCGTTATCAAACAAGGGGGCCTGATGCCGATCGGGCGGAGGCAAGTCTGTTCACTGCGGGAACGGAAGCTGCATCTGTCTGGTGTGCGCAATGCCCAGCACGTATTAGGTGCCTGAGGTGTGCTGGTCACCGCCGTCCTTTTGTCAGAGGTGTGGCTCCTTCTGGCCAGTCCTCAAGTTTCATCTCTGTCCCTCCCAGGTGGTCCTGCCGTCCTATGAGGAAGCTGTGTCTCTGCCACCCAAGACTCCGGAGGGGGGCTCAGAGCCGCCCCCATACTCCGAGGTGTGACAGCGCCGGGGCCCCGCCCGGTGCTGGGAGAGGCGGAGCTGCCTCGCAATCCGCTTCTTCGCTTCGGGGGCCCCTGTGGCCTGCGTGAACCACCCAGCTGACTTCGGGACAATCTGCTTGTGCACCCCTCGCTGGCCTGCTTTTCCCGTGGGGCCTGGGAGATGCTCACAATCGGATCAACGCTTTAGGCTGAATGACTCGTAAGGATTCAGTCCAACAACACACTTGGCTTATTCTGACTAGCTCTGGCATCTGTTTCAACAATTGGTCATTGTAAATTCATTGTGTTTGGTTAAATAATTTTCAACATGACCAGGTTAACCAAGTGGCTGACACATTTAAGAAAAATACACTTGTCGGTTCAGTAAAATAATCTGGTCAGACTGTAGCAGTGCATTGCGCTGGTTTGTAAACAGTTGTCAGTTTGCACAGCACTTTAGCAAAGCAATCATCAGTTAGTCCTCCTCACCAGATCCACATGTTCAAGTTCGTCCGACAGCGTGCTTGAATAATGGCCAAGTTGGCTAACCCAGTCAATTTAGAATAGGGCTTAAATTCGATAATTAAGGGAAAGATCAGATTACCCCCCACACCATACAGTTCATTTCAACCCAATACAGTAACTGGCTGCCCACTCTGACCAATTCAGTAGGGCCAAGTGGCTGAATAATTGTTACTTCAAATGAAAATTCAGTCAGTCAGTTGCCAAACCATCATCGTTCAACAGCTAGTTCCAGGAAATGACAGCAGTTTTAATCATCAGACGGTCCCTATGAACACACATTGTTTTGCTTGTGAGTTGTCACCGTTGGCACGTGGTCGGGAGTCACACGTGGTCGGAGCTGTCACAGAGCAGTGGACTGTGTGAAATGGGCTGCCTCGGCCATGGCCATTCATCTCCAGTAACGCACCGTCAGTCCATTCCACAGCCCAGTCTGTCCACCGCCAATTTGGTTGTCAGTGACCCGGTTCTGCCTGAAGCTTGCGGTCAAGCAGAAATTCAGCCCCGAAATCAGGCGAAGCCATTTGTTGGACTAAATCCACATATTAGTTCAGTCGAAACAGGCAAACCTTTTGTGGGTGCGGACCTTGCCACGGGGGCTGGTGTTGGAGCTGCCGGGAGAGGTTTGGCCCCAACACCCCCTCTTTCGCTTGCTTCCCGGAGGGCTGGGGTTCCTGAGGGAGCTGACCCAGAGGTGGAGGTAGGGCCCCAGGGGAGGGCTCTCTGGGGTCTTCAGTGGGGTACAGAAGGGGAGGGCTGTGCGAGAGGCTCTCCGCCCACACTCGCTCACAAAATTGCTTTGTGTGTGACGGGGAAGAAGTTTCAATAAAGCAGCGACAAGCTTCTCTCGGGCTGATGTGGTCCCTCAGATATGGAGTAAGCGGGGCCCCATTACCCCCAACACACACACACACACACACACACACACACACACACACACACACACGTGTTTGTTCAGTCCAGAGACTCACAGGGGCTCACGTCCAGCTGGGGAGGGTTGTGACCTGACACTGTTTCTGATACAAATCCCAGATCATGTAAGTACCATGCTGTCTCCCACATAAGGTGTGAGTGAACTCCACTCCCCTCGGTGGGGGACCCACCTGGACGCTGGTGCTGCGCTGGGCACTAGGGGTGATTGTGATGGGTTAGACTTGCCTCCAGTTATCCACAGGCTGGGGTCGGGGAGGGCAGATCTGTAACTAAGTGTAACAGTTTGAGGAACAGGGCAAGTCTGAGGGGCCTCAGACAGCCTGAGAAGGCTTTTCAGAGGAAGTTTCACCAAGCTGAGTCTAAGGGACGAGTGGGCAGCAGGAAGCAGAGTGGGGAAGAATGTTCTAGGCAAAAGCCACAGACTATGGGAGGCCTTTGTGGGCGTGGGGGAGGGGAGCTGGGGCAGCTCAGTTTGGCCACAAGTGGGGAGGGAGCTGGTGAGGTCCTGGGCCCTGGACTGGGAAGAGACTTTGCTCACCTTAGGGCTCTTGGGCTGCAAGCCCACCTTGGCTAATGTTGGCCAAGGGCATCTGCAGGAAGGAGATGGTTGCAAGGAAACCTTAGTGAACCAAGTTTGTTTAAAATACAAAGCGGGGGGGGGGGGGGCGGTGGTCACGGTGCTTCTTGCTTTGCATAGATGAAAAGTCCGGCCTTCATTGTGGTCGGACCTAGGAACCAAATTCTGAGTAATCTTTTCCTTTCTGTCCCTTTTCCTCCCTGGCTGAGCAGCTGTGGGCCTGCCTGGGAGTGAGGTCAGCAGACTGCCTGAGACTGAGCCCAGGAGTGTGGGCTTATCCTGGGGCAGGAGAGTCTTTGCAGGGTTTTGGGCAGGGGAGTTACAGGGTCAGGTGATGGGTTGGGTTTTAGGAAGGAAGAGACCAAATGCAGGGGCCCAAACGATGGCATGGCCGATGGCTGACGGCCGGCAAAGTCGGTCGGTGTGAAGGGAAGCAGGTGGATCCGGGAGGTGTTGTCAGTCTTCTGGCTTGTCAGCTCTTCTTGGGGACAGCGGGTTTCTTCATGGATTTCGTCTGCTCTTCATCAGATCCCCAAGCGACGGATAAAGTGCGGCTGTGACAGAGACGAACAGCAAGCTCCCCTCCACACACGAGGGCACTGAGACCCGGAGACTCCGGTGACCGTCCTGAGGCCACACAGCAGTCAGGGATGAGACCAGTGACTTTGTTTTTCCTACTCCAAGTGGAGGCTGTTAGGAGGGGCTGGGGCACCTGTGTGAGCTCTTGTCTCTTGTGCATGTGAAGAGCCCCCCCCTTAAAATCCCCATCAAATGGGGACTAAGGGCACAGGTCACTAGAGGAGGGGATTGGCTTCGTCCCTAGCCTCTTTTCCTCATCAGGAGGACACCAGGGGGCCATGGCTGAGTGACCCGAGGAACAGCTGAGGCGATGCCCCACCCCCATCCTTGGTCAGGAGCCAAGAAATGGGCCGAGCTGTGTAGGGGCTTGTGCCCTGCGGCTGGGCGGCTGGGCGGGGCTGCCCGAGGAACAGGAAATAGCTGGGTTAGGGGAAGTCTCGTGGAGCAGCCAAGGCAAGCCAGCTCTCGCTCCGCTGGGCAGCTCTCCCCACGGCCCCATCAATGCCCTGTTTGAGGTGCACACAGGGGTCCTTTGACAAGGCCAGGCTGGGACCCACTGAGAGGGCCTGTTGGAGCTAGAAGCCCTGAAAGGAGCTGGCCCCAGGACAGAGGGGCCGGCACAGGATGGGCAGGTGAGGGCCACCCGGCTGGGCTGTTCCCTGGGGAGGAGAGTCTGCAAAAGCAAACCCAGGTTGCCAGGCAGAAGCACCTCAGTTGTCAGGGCCCTGACGGTAACAGGAATGGGCCCCGTAACTGAACGAACTCTTCAGCGTGTCATCTCCATGACTGTCCCCCTGGCCCCACAGCAGGTGCCATGTGTCCACGATTCCCTACCCTGATTACTCACAGGCTCAGGGTGCGCAAGCCACTTGCCCGGAGCCATAATTGGTTGAAGGGCAGAGCTGGGGTTTGACTCCAGCTGGCCCGACCGGAACCTGGGCTTGTCCCTCTGGTCCTTCCTGCTCCATGCCCTCCTCAAAGGTGAGCAGGGCGACGGCCTGGTTTTAGAACCTCTACACGCCCCTTGAAGGCAGGGCTGAGGTGCAGTCATCACTGTGTGGCTGGCACTGAGGACAGGGGTCTGTTGTGGCTGCAGGGCCCAGGTAGAAGAATGATGGGGAGGTGGCCCAGGGGACAAATGGGGGGACATGAGCCAGCCAGTGGCTGTGGGGCTGGGTAGACGCAAGAGGCATTTGGGAAACTAGACCTGCAGGGCCTGGGCATAGAAGTGAGGAAGAGGAAGGTCAGGCTGGTGCCCAGGTTTGGAGAGCACTTGGGACTGTGGTGTCTAGCTCTGAGCTAGGGACACAGGACAGGGACCAAAAGAAGATGAGTTGAGCTTTGAGCCACCTCGGGGGACACATGACAGGTGGGGTTCAGGAGGCAGCTGTGTTTATAGTCTGGCGTTCAAGGGACTGAGGAGGAAGGCAGGGGTATGACCGCCATTTGTGGACACACGAGTGTGATGTCACCACACTTCCAGGAGGTGTTAACATATCAGCCGGACGTGGTATTGGCGCGCCCTGGGGCAAAAGCCGTGCCTCCTCGCCCTGTCCAGCCTCTGGCTTCCAGCCTGCCTGGCCACTGGGAGGGCCTGAGACCAAGACAGCACATGTGAGGTGTGACGAGCCACATGCGGGACCTCAGACACAGGGACTGTGGCCCAGTGGAGCCCTGTACGGGATGGGCAGCCCAGGGACCCGGCAACAGCCTCAGCGGTGGGGCGTGCATCTGCTTTGCAGATGAGGAAACCTGGCCTTGTGCTTATGAGCAAGTTCTCTGCTGACTGTTGGGGAGACTAGAAATTTATATCTGATCGGGCACCCTGGGCACGTCTCCAGTTTGCAATGAAATAATTTTAAGTGTCAAGAAAAGCACTTCCCAGGTTAAAGGAAGTTGGAGGGGACCCACCCTTGGGCCCACCTGGGGTTTCTGGGTGGCATCTAAGAAGCAGCTGCTGTGGGTCTCTGCGGCCACAGGCCCCGGCCACCACCTGCCCAGATGCTCTGGCAGCCAGGGCTTGCCCGCCACCTCTCTCCCGGGAGTCCGGAAGGAAGCCTGCTTAATTAGCCACCAAGAGTGTCTGACAGGCAGTGGGCTTGGCAGAGAGCGGCCAGCCCTAAATAAACAGAGTCCATCTGGGAAGCAGTTCTGCTGCCACAGCAGGGGCCAAGGTGGTCAAGCAGGACACTGGCCTTGTAGCTTCCTCTGCTCCACCTGCTGGGGGCGCGGTCTGGGCAGGGAGACAGCCTGGGCCACGGCCTGGAGCTGCGACCACATGCCAGAGGGCGATTTTAGTCTGAGAAACTCGCTTCTGATAAGTCACCACTTACCATACCACAGAAATGTTCCGCCTCGACCTCGACAGGCCCAGGCTGCTGAACGTTTGTACGGGGATGGAGCTTTGGGAGAGATGAGGGCGCTTACATTAAAGCACTTCCGGTGGGACAATGGCAGGAAGAAGGAATGTGCCTGGAGCATGGGAAGGACAGATTCAAGTGTTTCTGGGGTGGGACACCCTCATAAAGGCTGCGGGTGAAGCAACCTCAACGCTAATGTTCCTTGGTTGCCCACAGTCACTCCACGAAACAACAGGGCCAGGCCTTGCTCCCACGTCACCAAACTCCACAGGGAGCCTTCCCGCCCTTCATTGCTGAAGTCACCCCAGAGGGAGGGGCCTGGAGACTGAACCCTGAGAGTAACCCGCAGGCTGTAGTTTGGGTATGTTAGTTGGTGTCCAGTGCTTTCCATACTGACTTTGAAGCCACTTCCCCCAAACTGAAAAATGCTGTATTTCCTTGTCCATCCTCTGCCCTCCTCCCTCTTTTGTTCTCTGCCCATCTATACCGCCCGAGGAAGGCCGAAGTCTAAGATGCCCTCTGATGACCTATGACCTTCTAGAGTTCTCCCTTCCTGAGTGTGGGTGGAGCCTGTGAATCTGACAGCATAGTCACTCTAGGGACTAGGTTGTGTTACATAGCACTGTTAACTTTAAGAAAGGGAGATCGCCTTTCTTAAGGGTGAGCCTGACTTAATCAGGCGATCCCTTAAAAGAGACTGGGCTCTTTCTGAAGAGGGGACTTGGCACAGGAGAGATCTGAAGCATGAGGGGGCTTGGGAGGAGACCACATGGTGAGGAACTGTGGGTGGCCCCTAGGAACTGAGAGCAGCCCAGGCCCCCGGGTAATAGCCAGCAGGAGGGTTGGGGGTGGGATTTAGCCTGACACCTGCTGGGCGCAGCTGAATTCTGCCAGTCACTTGTGAGCTTGCAGGAGGATCCCGAGCTCCAGAAAGGAATGCAGCCCAGGGGACACACAGATTTCAGCCTGTGGGGCCCCGGACAGAAAACTCGGTTTGGTTGTGCCCAGGCTTCTGACCTACAGAAGCTGTCAGGCAACATGCTTTTGCTGTTTTAAGCTGCTAAGTTTGCCATCATTTGTTACATGGCAATAGAAAATGAAAGCACCACCTCTTCCCGACTCGGAGGAAGTTGTATTTTTTTCCTCCTTTAAACGCATAACTGGCAGCAGCCGCGATAGTTCCGAATGTCCAGGTAGGTCCTGAAATCTTGTCAGGGTAGGTCCAGAGCTTTGAAGTTCAAGGGTGGAAACAGCAAGCTGAGCACAGTTCACACAGCTTCATGTGCTCCTCCCAGTTAGTTCTCCAGAAGTTGCATTTGGAGGCTGAGGGCGAGAGCAGCAGGGATTTCAAGCTGCATGAACACTGGTTCGGTACTCTGGGAAACCGGGAGAGAAA